GCTGTGGGCGGGCGTGGCGCGGGGTCGGGGCGCTGTGGGCGGGCGTGACGCGGGGTCAGGGTGCTGTCGGCGAGCGTGGCGTTGTGATAATGGAAATGTAATACTTTGCCTCCTGTTTCACATTGGAGCTCTGAAACCTCCTGAATCCAGGAGGCCGTCCAGGTGGGACGTGGCAGCAGAAGACAAGGGGAAAAGTATGACCGAACGTGCTACAGTGCTGATTGGTTTGGATTCGGCAGCAGAAACAAGTTTGACTCAGCGCACAGAGAAAGAAATTGAACAGGACCAAGAAACTAAAACTGAAGAGCAGGTCGGTACCTATGGGAATGGTGACAATGAGCTCCCTAGTGAGATTTTCTGATAGCAAAACAGGAACATAGGTATGCACCTGTGGTGTATGGAGTTTGTGGGGATTCCTAGAGATTATTTGGTGGAAATACTGGATAAAGAAATGTTCACAAAAGTCAGCCAGAGAATAAAAGAGGAAATGATGCTATAGATGAGTAACTGGGTGTCTGTCTATGACTGCATGAATATGCTAGGGGTATTAGTATTCGGATCACTTTTTGTGTGTATATAATTGATGTGGATTTTCAGACCATAATGGACATCAGTGTTCTGATGAAACCGTGCAGAGTAGGAAATTACTAGAAAGAATGCTGGATATAAAAAGCCTGCAGGAAGGAGCAGAGAAGCTGCAAGTGTTGTTTGGTTCAGGTAAATGCGAAGTATAATGTTTTTTGCACAAAGAACAAACTGGAAACATAACTTCAGTGGAAAACACCTTGGGCTGTGGAAGAGCAAGGTTTACAGATGCAGAAATGTTGCAAGTTAAAGAATCCAAAGAAAATCTAAAAGGAGTTTAGTGTTTGTGCTGAGTGCACAAGAAAAGTGTTCAGTAATTCTCTGCAAAACCCTTTAATAGTACCAGTCAGTGGTCTGACCCTCACTGTGAGACAATTTACGACAGACTTGGACAAATGCTGCTGTTCTCAAGGTGAGCAACTCGAGTGATATTCTGGCAAATTGTTGAGGAGTGGAGGTGGTTGGTTCATGGAGGAATTGCTGTGATCAGTGTAGACTTATTGTTTCCATTGTTGTGGAAGTGAAAGAAATGAAGCCAGGATCTCAGACTGAGTCCTAAATGCAGGAAGTTAACAATCTTTTTCTGTTCTTAGAATGTTTGTCCATGTTGGTGTTTGATGTATTTGAACAGATCATTACTGCATGGAGAGAATGAACAGGTTGAGGAGAAGGCAGCAAGTGAACTTAGTTCTGCGCACAAATATTCCTAGATCCTGTTTCATACAATCACCATGGAGACTGGAACTGTTCTGATACAAGGCTCCCAACCAAGAGATTCTGTGATTTAGTCACAACATGGCAATTTGTTATCCTGAATTCAATAAACGAATGGAAAGAGACGGAAGGATAAAAGTCATACGAAGCTGTGCATTGTCTTCAAAATCCCAACTGTTTTAGTAAAAGCCTTCAGGGGATGCAATGGACTAATCTCATCCAGTCTGGTATACATGTAACTCCAGTCTCACTTCGACCCATTCTGGTCTACATGTGACTCCAGTCCCACTCCATCCTGATGTGGCTAACATTGTTGGCCACCTTCCAGGCACAAATTACCTTTAAAAGTGTTTGCCTCTGGCCCAGTCCTCACTCTGTTGTTTTATGTAGGACAGTTCCAAGGGTGAATTTTACCTCCACTCAAATGATTTGCAATTTCATCAGACATGGCTTGCCACTCCTGACACCATTGTCTCTTTTTACCTGTTTTCTTCGTACTGTCCATGGTCTCCACTTTGGGGGAAGGCCAGACCTGAGAGAGTCACCAAGAAATGGAACTGGTGGTTTGGGGGGACTCCTTTACCCACAGAGTGAGGAGAATGCTCTACCCAGTGTGAATAACAATTGATACAGTGAAGGAGATAATTAGATGTGTGAGGAAGAACAGAATCAGGTGATAGAGTGAGAGGACCATTTTCCTTCTGACTACCTTAGATAAACTTCTCAGAATTGTTGCACTTCCCCTGTTTTTTAAGGCAAACAGTCCCCAGTTTCTTCAACCAAGCCTTGCAGCTAAAATCCCTCCTCCATGCAACCAGTCTGTTAAATCAACTTTGCCCCCTCCTGCAAACCTACATGACCTTTTGTAAATTGTGCTGACCAGAACTGGATGCAGTACTGTAGCTGTGGACTAATCAGAGTATTTGATTGAAGAAGGGTCCAGACCCAAAACGTCCGCTTTCCTGCTCCTCTAATGCTGCTTGGCCTGCTGTGTTCATCCAGCTGTACACCTTGTTATCTCAGACTCCAGCATCGGCAGTTCCTACTATCTCCGAGTATTTGATTGGCTGTGTTTTTGAGTTTAGTTGCTGTATTAAAGGTACTGTTCTATTTTCCTTGCAGGAAGATGCTGAGGACGAAGAAAAACGGCCATCCATGGACTTGTTCAAAGCTATCTTTACCAGCTCGTCTGAGGAGAAATCTTCGTCTTCCTCCTCTGAAGAGGAGGAAGATGAAGAGACCAGTGAAATAGACCCTGCTCCTGGGGAGCAAGCTTCAGTACAGTCTGTACCTCCAATCCCTGCCTCAGACCACCAGCTAGGTTAGTTTATTCAGCAGTCTGTGATTGGCTATGTTCAATCCTTTGGTTGCAATGATGTTTCCTTCCTAATGACTAGAGGGTGGCTACAGCAACTTGACAATACATTACAGACTCTTCCCTATAGACCTGTGCTGCCAGTGGTGAGAGAGCTTTACTCTGTATCTAAGCCCAAACTGTGGCTGATGGGGAATACTATCAAGGGAACTGTACTCTGTGTGCATTATGTGTACTGTTTTTGAATCTGATGACCAGTTCTCTGCGGTTTTACCTGTTGCTCATGTGCAGAGTTTCATCAGAGTGAATGTGAGGATGTTCCCTCACTGCTGATCTCCCAGTGTACTTTATTCAGTTGTCATTGGCTGGACATTTTGACTGAAAGTGGTTTCTTATTGCTTGCCTTAGTGAAGGAATTTGATCGAAACCCACAACCTGCGCAGTGCAGCCCAGAACCTCGGAGTGGCATGGAAGAATTTGGGCCCAGGCTCCCACCAGCTCTCCTCTTTGGTGAGATGCTAATTTGTGTGTTAATTCTGTCGTTAGAGAGCAAGCAGTGCAGTTATTCTAAAGCCTTCTTTATAAAACACTGGTTATGCCTCAGCTGCACTGTCTGTGTTTATAGGCAATGTGCAGTAAAATGTGTTAGCAGATTGGTTTGATTCACTAACACTATCAGTTTGTGCTATAAGTAGGAATTGAATGAAAACATGCCTCAGTATATCCTGCAACACGCAGAGGCTTAGAACACTGTACCTGGTATCAAGGAAATGTATTTGGACTCATAATCCTGATGTCCCAACAAATACTCTGGGGCATTAGGAGCTGGTGGAATTTGGATTTAGTTTTTAAAAGTCTGGAATTGAATGATGACCATTAAACCACTTTTGGGAAGGAACTCTGATGTCCACATGGCTCCAGACCCACAGCAATGTGACTTTCAGGGCAATTAGGGATGGTCAGCCACACGCATTTGCCATACGAAAAGAAAGGAATGAGAGATACTGTTCCCAGTGTAGGAGAATCAGTGAGCAGATTGAAGGGAATTAGAATTAGAATTAGCTTTACTGTCATGTGTACTCAAGTTACAAAAGAACAGGAAGAACAGTGAAAAGTGTACGGTGTTGCCAACACGACACCATCTTAGGTACAAAACGCCTAGGTACGAAATCTTATGTACATAAAATAGAGAAAAATGAAGAAAAAAAGTGACATTACACTTTAAATATACACAGATAAGTTAGGAAAATGAGAGAGAGCTAAAAAAATAGATATTACAGTCTTCGTATCAGGGCTTCTACACGGCCTGACCATGCTCCACCAGTTCCCAGCCAGTAGCCATCTTCACTCCAGCCCACTGCCCGCCGTCCCCGCCCTGTCTCTCCGGGCCCCGCCGTCCCTGCCCTGTCGCTCCATGCCCCCGCCCCGTCGCTCTGTTCCCCGCCCTGTCGCTCCAGCATACAGGATATATATGCTAGGATGGACATGATATGGATTATATACAGAAATGTTATGCTGAGCAACGCATGACATATTGCATTATATATTGCAGTGTTGCACTCACTAACAGATTTCTTTGTAGACAGTAAGGACATCTACACCACTGCGCCTGTTTCAACTCAACAACATAGCTGACAGCCATTCGCTGGTTTATTTCTCTGGGCAGTGTGCTGCCCAACAGAGTTAACCTGCCTGATTTGATATTTGAACAAAGACTGGCAGTTAACTGTCATTATCGTTACCTGGTGCAATCTCTATTAGTGTCTCTACCAGTCAGAGTCCATGTATCAACCAGTCAGCACCCTCCTGCAGTATAACGGTGTTTTCTCTGAATATTAGTATTTCTTGTGAAATGTCTTGATTAGCTGAATATGAAAAGCTTCGACACAATGTGCCTTTTTGTCAGCAGCACAGACAAGTCTCAGTGAATCACTGATGTATAGCGCTGATGTAATGTGAGTTGTGATTGCTGTTGGAATCATACACAGTACAGAAATGACCCATCGAGTCTGCAGCAGCAAAAAACTCATCTAAACCTACACTAGCTCCACTTGTCGCACCAGGCCCACAGCCGCTCATGTTATAACATTTCAGCTGCTCTCCCAGATAGTGCGTTCCAGATTCCCACCACCCACTGGTAAAAGCATTTTCTTTTCGATACCTGTCTGAACCCTTTGACGTTAAAAGATGCCCTCTTGTTATTGATCAAGGGCAACAGCTGGTTTCTCTTCATCCTGTCCATGTTCCCATCATAATCTTATGCACCCCTATCAGGTCCCCATTCAACTGCTGCTGCTCCAAAGAAAACAATCCAAGCTTATCCAGCCTCTCTTCATCACTGAAATACTCCATCCCAGGCGACATCCTGATGAATCTCCTCTGCATTCCCTCCAGTGCTATCTCATTCCTTCCTATAGAGCAGAGATCAGAACTATGAGGAAGGGTCACCGGACCTGAAACGTTAACTCTGTTTTTTCCTTCAAAGATGCTGCCAGACCTGCTGAGCTTTTCCAGCAACTTTGTTTTTGTCCAATATGTTTTGTTAATTCCCCTATTAACCTGTCCTGCCACCTTCAGGGATCTGTGGACAAACTCCCAAGGTCCTTCTGTTCCTCTGAGCTTCCTGTGTCCTGCCATTCATTGACCACTCCCTTGTCTTGTTTTGTTAAACTGAAGGTAACACCCACCCGTCACCTGATGACAACATGGTTTCTCCAGCAACGGGATGCAAGTGGCTAGAGGAGGGCAGCGATGGTACAGCTCAGCAGAAGGGGAAACCGAAAAAGAAGCTCAAAGACAGAAGGAAAGGAAAGAAAGTGAAAAAGGAGAAGGTCAGTTCAGACGGTGTGGGAGTGTGCTGGAGAGAAAGGAGTGTGTAGAACCACATTAAGACGCTCTGTATAGAGGCTGCCTTGTTGCTTTGAGATGATGTGTCAGGATCCCGCATTCCTATGTTTTGGGAAAACAGAGACTCTACCTTACCATCCCTCTCAGTGCAGCATGGGGAACTCTGGCCCAGTGTTACAAGGGCCAGCGCCAAGGGAGCGTCGTGCTGTCGGGAGGGCCAGCGCCAAGGGAGCGTCGTGCTGTCGGGAGGGCCAGCACCAAGGGCGCGCCGCTCTGTCGGGAGGGCCAGCGCAGAGGGCGCGCCACGCTGTCGGAGGGCCAGTGCCGAGGCAGCTTTTGTGGCAATTGGCCCCTTATGTCTTGCATCTTACATGACACTACAAAAACACTTTGTTTCACATCCAATGAAAGTTTTCAGTCTTTGAGGTATCCTCAGTGGATTTTGTAGAAATGCAATTCTGTTGTTTCCTCCACAGAAAAAGAAACACAAAAAGCATAAACACAGATCCAAGCTGAGGGACAGGAAGCTGAAGGGTGATCACAGCAGCTTGGGGGACTCTGAACCTGAACAAAGTGGCTGTGTGAGTCACAGCACGGACCCCCAGTCTGTGTCTGATACAGACCTGCTGATGCGGTGAGTATTAGAAACATAGAAGATAGGCACAGGAGTGGGCCATTTGACACTTGATGCCTACTCCATTTCAAGGAACAACAAAGATCAGCACAGCACAGGAACAGGCCCTTCAGCTCACCAAGGCTGAGCTGACACATGATGCCTTTCTAAACTAAAAACCCCTTTACCTCTGTGCAGTCATATCCCTCTGTTCCCTGCCTATTCATATGTCTGTCAAGATGTCTCTTAAACCTTGCTATTGTATCCACCTCCTTCACCCGCCCTGGGCAGCACATTCACTTACCACCCACTGTGTAAAACAACTTGCCTCTCACATCTTGTTCAAACTTTCTCCCTTTTACCTTGAAGCTATGTCTCCTGGTTATCTCCTGGTTTCTACACTGGGAGAAAGACTCCATTCTATCCACACTTCTCATAATTTTGTAAACTTCTGTCAGGTCACCCTTGTCCTTTGATGTTCAAGTAAAAACAAACCACGTTTGTCTAATGTCTCCTCACAGCTAATACTCTCCAAACCAGTTAAACCATTTCTGTACCCTCTCCAAAGCCTCCACACCCTTCTGGTAGTGTGGTGACCAGAACTGTACACAATATTCCAAATGTGGCTTAAATAAAGTTCTATACAGCTGCAACATGAGTTGTCAGTTTTTATACTATATGTCCTGAACAATGAAGGTAAGCGTACTATATAACTTCTCGACCACTTTTTCCTCTTGTATTGCCACTTACAGGGAACCGTGCACCTATACGCCTGGATTGCTCTGTATGTTGATGCTACTAAGGTTTCTGCCATTTACTGTATACTTCCCTCCTGCATTAGATCTTCCAAATGCATCTCCTCACATTTATCTGGATTAAATTCCATCTCCCATTTCTCCGCTCAAGTCTCCAACCTATCTATATCCTGCTGTATCGTCTGGCTACCCTCCTCACTATCCACAGCTCCCCAATCTTTGTGTTGCCTGCAAATGTACTAATCAGGCCACCTACATTCTCCTTCAAATCACTTATATGTATTACAAACAACAGGGATCCCAGCACTGATCCCCGTGGAACACCACTGGTTACAAATCTCCAATGTGAAAAACACCCTTCCAAGCTACTCTCTGTCTTCTATGACTAAGCCAGTTCTGTATCCATCTTACCAGTTCACTGCAGATTCCATGTGACTTCACTCTTGTATCAGCCTGCCATGACGAACCTTATCAAAGGCCTTGCTAAAGTCCATACAGACAACATCTACCACCCTGCCCTCACCAATCATCTTTGTTGCTTCCTCAAAAAACTTAATCAAGTTTGTGAGACATGACTCCAACTATACAAAGCCATGCTGCTTATTGCTAATAAGTCCATATTTTCCCAAACATAGGTAAATCCTGTCCCTAAGAATCTTCAACAATTTCCCTACCACTGAGCTAAGGCTCTCAGGCCTGTAATTACTTAGATTATCCATGGGTTGCCCTTCTCAAACAAAAGGAACAATTTTGGCTTTTCTCCAGTCCTCTGGGACTTCTCCTGTAACTGAAGAGGATAATAATACCTTAATGCTTTTCAAAACACCCAAAACCGTTTTTTATATTGAGTTGTCCCAGAATATCAACATATCCCTGTCTAGACTCACCATCCACCATGTCCTTCCCCTTGGTGAATACCAATGCAAAGTGTTCAATAAGGACCTCACCCACTTCCTCCGGCTCCATGCAATAAATTCCCTCCTTTGTCCTCGGGATGACCCTATCCTTTTCCTAATTGCCCACTTACTCCTTATATATGTATAAAACACCTTGGGATTTTCCTTAATCTTGTTTGCCAAAGACATTTCACGGTCCCTTTTAGCCCTCCTAATTCCTTGTTTGAGTTCTTTCCTACTATCTTTGTATTCTTCGGCTCTGTGTGTCTTCAGTTTTCTAAACCTTACGTATGCCTTGTTTTCTCTTTTTGCCTAAGTTCTCAACTTCTCCTGTCATCCCGATGTTCCCTAATCTCACTATCCTTATCCTTCATTTTCACATTTGCTGGTCCTGAAATCTAATCAACTGGCCTTTGAAGGATTCCCATGTGTCAGATATGGATTTATCCTTAATCAGCCACCTCCAATCTACATTCCCCAGTTCCTGCTGAATATTGTGGTAGTTGGCCTTCCCCCAGTTTACTACTTTCACCCGAGAACTACTCTTATCTGTAAGTAACTTAAAACTCTCAAAATTATGGTCACTGTCCCCAAAATGCACTCCCACTGAAACTCCAGGTCCAGTCCTACCCAGGCTGACTTTTCCGTGACCCCAGTTCTACTCCGATTTAGTCTGACCCCTACTCCGGCCCAGTCTGACCGTCCTGTATCTCCAATCCCTCTCCTTGTTAGCCTGCTCTACATGTAACTCCAGTCCCACTCTAACATTGACTCTTCTTCCCTTCTGTTGTGGTTTAAAATGGTCACTTCTCAACTAGAAAAGGCTGTTCAGTCAATTTTGCCCGTTCCATCTCTGTCAGTTTTATGTTCTTGTTGTGTTCATTGCATCTATTTCTAAAGCAGTCAGGCCACCTTGCGAGGCACCATAGGAAAGCATTCCTCCAAGATTGATCCTCAAGTCTAAATTCCACCTTTTCAAACAGCAGTGGGAGTCCGTGTTCTATCATCCAGCCCCTCAGTCGACAAGATTGTAGCTCATCTCCTACTTCAGTTGCATTCTCCTTCCTTTCATTATATCCCTCATTCCCATGGTGCTCAAAAATCTATCCAGTCTTCCCAGAATGTGCATGAGATCCTCACCCAATATTTTCTGGATCCCTAAACAAGAAAACCAAAGAACTGTGGATGCTGGAAATCAGAAACAAAAACAGAAGTTGCTGGAAAATCTCAGCAGGTCTGGCAGCATCTGTGCAGAGAAAGCAGAGTTAATGTTTTGGATCCAGTGACCCTTCCTCAGAACAGTTTTCTAAATTTTCTAAACTATCTCAATATTCTCATGAAGAGTGACCCTAGCTCACCATTTGCTGTGAACCCTATTTCTTATTGGGAAGAGTGTGTCTAACAATGTTTGCTTTTCTGATTCATAGATTGAAAACTGTTCCATTGGCAAGACGGTGAGACAGGGCAGTGGAAAAAGAGAAGCTGGTTAACCAAACCCTCAGTGATAAGCTGCATCCACCACAGTGGTGCATTAGATCCAGTCTGAAACCTCTCTTATAATTTGTCAGGAATTGCCCAACAAGAGGGAGGGAACCAGACCAGGAGCACTGACACTGGTGACTTCAATACAAGACAGCTTGGTTCAGTGTCTGTGAACATTGACAGATTTCACATCTACAATTTTTTAAATCATTTATTTATAACCAACTGTGAGAATGTCAAATATTAGTTTGTTCAGAGCACCCAGGACCGCTGTGGCTTTCTGTCTTAATAAATCGTCCAGTCAATTGATACTGCACTTGTGTTAGTTTTTGCTGCAGTGATTCTGACTTAGAAGTCATGGGGTAAGTTCTGGATTGCTGGCCTCCCTGTGCTTAGTGTTTAGCCAGCACAGAGGAACTGTAGGAGCTGGAGAACAAACCTCACCATTGCATCACTTACTTGTTATCTCATACTGTTTATTGCGAATGTCTCTTGATCCCTGCAGATCATTCTGTGCTCACTTACTGAGGCTGCTGAAACGGTTGTGGCATCTTCTATTTGTCAGAATTAATTCTAGGTAAATGTTGTGATCACAGTCTGAAATGTCAGAGATACCTGGAGGCGAGGCCAGTCCAGGCCAGGGGTTGCTGGGTGGTGGTGCCTCTGCTAAGCTATCAGTGCCACACTGTCAAGAAGCAAAGTGACAGTGCACCATCACCCTGGCTCCCCATGTGGATACAGAAAGAGAAGATTTCCGGGGAATGAATTCAGAGCAACTGTGACAGAAGTAGTCGCTGGTTCTGCAGCTGGAGGGTTTGTGGGATCCTTTGTGGAAATTAGTTACTGTGTTTTCCACTTTACGGTAACTACATTTCAAAAGGACTTTGTTGAAAAGCACTTGAGGACTTTCATGTTATGAAAGGTGCTATCTAAATGAAACTTTCTATAATGCTCACCAAAGAAATGAGACTGCCAAGGAGGTTTATATGATTGGAGGATAATATAACTTGAGATACAGCTGTGAAATAGTTCAAGAATTGAACAAAAGAACTGGATTTCCTCCTGAGTTGAGCTTTCTTTTCGGCTGGACATGAACAATCTGTCATTATTGTAAACGAATGTTTTGCTGTCAAGGTTTCACAGGCACAGTTAATCTTATACAGTGAATCACGCTGGGAATGAATTTGGATATGTTGTTAAATTTTGTACAGTTTTGTACTGTCTGTAATAAAGTATTTAATTAAACATTTTCAGTTTGCTTTCACTGTGAAATAAGGGTGCGATGGAATTATGACAAGCAACCTGCGCAAAGTAAAACATGTCCCAGATTCTTGGTCTTCACAGCATCAGGCTGATCATAGGCTAGAGGGGCCGAAGAGCCTTACGTTCCCATATTCCACAGCTAGGGCAGCTGTAACTGGACATTGTGCCTGAGTGAGCTAACTCTCACCAGGTAAGTATCCCAGCCATCACAGCCACATTCAGTAAACTGCTGTAGCTCCTGGTCTGACAATACCTAGATATTTACAATACTCAGTCATGTATCACTGTGTGTGACTATAGGATTGTTTCTGTTTTGGTTGCAGCCTGTCTAACTGGCTGTGCGCACACTGAGACTGTGGTCAGGGACTGACCCGCGCCCCCCCCCCCCCCCCCCCCACCCCC